TTTAACCCCTATTATTATTACCAAACGATTTATGATGAAAAGAATTAATGCTACTACTATTCTAAATAGCTTCCAAATTCAAAAGTAAAAAATATGTCTACAAAGATCGGACAGTATTAAAATTAAGCATAATGAATATTGCAATATTTATTTTATTGAATATCATGCCGTTTTTACTATCATAAAATTCATTTTTTTTTTTCAAAAATAATATAAATAAACTAGTTTGTAAGTATTATTGATACAAAGATAATGTGCAGGCATATAGAGAAAATGGTAAGATTTGCAAACTCGATCTGTAGCATAGTTGGTAAGAGTGGTAGCCACGTTGAGGCATCAGACTCTGGTTCGAGTACAGTCGGATTGAACTTTTTCTTTGTGTTTGTTCGATCTTAGTATCAATAATTATAATTAATATTTTCATCTGGCAATACTCTATGAAGCAGCACTAGTGTGTCTATCTACTGATAAATTAAAACATTGCATCACTCACAATTGCCTTAACGTTGATTTCGGTGAGTCTCCTATGACGTAACTCTTGCACTTGCTCTATTATGTCCTGATACAATCACAGTTCGCATTCAAGGAAAGTTGAATAGGTGTGAAGTTCTATTGCAAACAATTGTGTTTGTTTTACTATTATATCATACCTGTTTATGGCGTAAGACTACTATACAGTGTGTTGATTTGCATTCTCGCCATATTTAAGAAATTAATAATAGAAATAATGCTAAATCATCTAAAACTACGAAAAAAATTATTCTGTTCAATATTCTGGCTAATTGTATCTAGTAAAGCTTTGTAAAATTGTTTCGAAGTCGTGTGCAGCACGCAAGGGCAGTGACCCCGACACCCGCTTCACCGAGCGATACGTAATCTTTCTCGATCGCCTATTTACCTATTTTTTAAATTATGATTATGTACTAGTATTGCTATAATTGACTATTTATTTATATTAATTAGAAAAGTTGTTTAAGAAGAAAAGTTTACATTAATTAAAAAAACATTCATAATTTGAAACACTATGAAATCTTGATAATAACTGGTCGTAGTTTCTAATTTAAAAAGTAATAACAAAAATACCTTTGATTTTATATTGAAATTTCAATCAATGTGCTGCCATCTCGCGCTCAATAACTGAATAACGACAAATTCCAGACGTTTACTTTTTTCCAAAAAAACAAGCGACCATATTGCAGTAGTGGTATAAGGTTTACTTTCGTTTATTGTACCAAAAAATTTTACGAACAGATAATTTAAAATTTATTAAAATTATATGACTTAACGATGATATGAAACACCACCATAGATAATGTTACAAATGCGACTATCATTTTTGCATTCCAAAGTAGCAAAATAAGGCATTTTTCTATGATTTTCGAGGTTTTGCGCGAGATAATTGACACGATCACAACGTATAAAGAGAAAATGGCGGACTGAGCTGAGAACTTAACTATGTGGAACTTCGCGTACTGTTGGCACACGTGTCACGCAAACCACGCACTTCTACTGTACTTGTGGTTCTGTGCTAAGAACTCACCTTGTAATGTTTCTGCTGCGCTCGAGCCGAGTCAGCAGCTGCAGCCGCACGTGAACACTCTCCTTGTAATTCGGACACTTTATCCTCCAACCTCTTCATATCATTTTTCAACGCATCTCTCTCATTCTGCAGCTCTGCAGTAGTTGCTTGCGCGGCTCTAAGCTCTATATTGCAACGTTCCGAGTTGTTCGTTTGTAACTGTTGGATGGTGCGTTCTAAGGCCATCCGTTCATCTTTTTCGACTTCGACTTGACGTTCGAGGCGTCTGGAATGTGAAAGTACAAATGATAAGGTTCTAAAAAGGTAGTTTTAAAAGATTTGTTGTGCAACTATATATAGTATATTTTAGTAGCAGTAGAGCTCCTTGTGAAAAGGTTCATCCAGGGAAGTACTGCCACCTTACCTATTTCTGCCGCCAAGCAGTAATGTGAGCATTACTGTGTTTCGGTTTTGAAGGGTAAGGGTGGTCTTGAAATTACGGGCTCATGGGATTTTCAACTTGTCTAAATCTTTACAATTTAAAGCTATGAGCGGCACTGCAACTGTTATGGACTGGCGTGTCGCTTACGACCAGGTGCACCACTTGTTCGTCCCGCCATTAAATATCATAAAAAAAACAATCGGAATAAGAGTACGTGATCATCGTACTGTAACTTTCCGGCTTACTGAACAGTTCTGAATGACAGTCCTTTAAAGCAAATCAATATTTATCTAAGAAACACAATTAATTACTAAATTAAATAAACCTTGGTACTATTAAAAAATATATATACTTTATTACTTTAAGTAAAGTTATAGCTATAACGTTATATCTTTGTCAATGTATACGCCCAATCGCATAATTACAGTCTACCACGTTGGGTGGAGATTTCAAATGTCTTTGGAAATCTTTTCAAATTCCTTTCTTACGATACGCACTTGTTCTGTAAGCTCAGTGCTGTGATTTCGGCTTGCAGCCGAGCGCGGAGCCTCTCAGCTTCTGCGTCAGCGGCGCGCCGCGCCTTTTCCGCCTCGGCAGCCGCCGTCGCCTCCGCCGCTGCGAGCTTACTTTGCAGCAAGGCCATTTCACGACCTCGCATGGCAGCTAATTTCTCTGCAGATCTGAGTGTGAGAGTAAATATACATTTTTTTGTTATTCCAACCTGCTAACAGTTAAAACAGTCGTTACGTCCGTTCGTAAGTATTATAACCGCATATAGTACCTAGAAAGTAATCGTCGAAGAATCGCATACAGTAGTATTATTACTTAAGCAAGTGACGGGTGAAAAAAAGCAAAATATTTCTAATTTTAACAACATTTTAGGATACACTTACTTAAAAGTAGCCAAGTCGATTGCAGTGCAGTCATGTGAGGCATTGAATCCGCCACTGGAGTCCTCGGTTTCTTCTGGCGCGACGTAAGAGAAACCCACGTAGGGTAATTGACCCGCGAAGGGCTGACGAGCGCGAAAGGGCGCGGCGGAGGGGGGCGGTGGCGGGCGCGGCCCGGGGGAGAAGTGTGACGCGTCTTCCGCGCCGCGCAGGCAGGGCACCCACGGCGGCGCCTGCGCAACATATCATTACGTTTACATACCTGGTGAAACGGTTTTTATATACATACAGTTAATCGGTCCACCTGGACGGAAGTGATAATCGCAGTCTTTATGTATTTGCTATCGCAAGGAAGTATCCTTCAACCACAAAAGTGTTATTGCTTCTACCTACTCTTCAATCTGGCTATATTACTTTGCGGCTATATTATTTTAAAAATAAAGAGGGTAGTGGTATCTACCCTGGCGGTTGTACGCTTTTAATACCACAGTAAAGTCAATAAATCGCTATACAGGATGTCCCACGACTACGTCACTAAAAAGGAGTTAATCCTTAAATTGATCATCATCTCAGCTCGTTATAACCCACTGCTAAATCAGTCCCGAACGTGTCTCATCCACCCCCACGACGTCGTCCGACCATCTAGCAGGTGGTCTGCCTTGCCACCCTGACGACATCGTCTGACTATCCAGCAGGTGGTGAGCCTCGCCATCCCGACGCAGTCTTCCGGACACCCCGACGACATCGTCCGACCATCTAGCAGGTGGTCAGCCTCGCCACCTCGACGCAGTTTTCCGGCCACACCGACGATATCATCCGACAATCTAGCATGTGGTCTGCCGATAATCCGATGATGATAAGATTTTTTTTACATTTCCTTGGTTCGATTCCGCAATTTTTTTGAAGCCTTTAAATGCAGCATTTCTTACTTTTAAAAATAAAATAACGTCTCTATAAAGCAAAATATCTTATTTACAATATGTAAAACACTTTTCCTCTGGCCCGTAGCCGTGAGACGCTCTGTACACGGTTTGCCGCACAATCTTAAGTTCTGCTACAATATTAATATAGCCATGAAACAATGAACTAATTAATATAATAATACAAATACGCAAACGATAAATCACTAACAAATGCGATATAAAACATATCATATGACTGGAACTGGCCACTTTTACAAGCAGAATAACCAAGTCGGATTTTTTATTATTATTTAGTATAGGGGATACACAATAGTTGTTTTCAAAAACTATAAACAAGGGTTCCTGTGAACACGTAGCAACAACAAGTAACACTTGATAGCAATTCCGTGATATGACTGCAAAACATAATGCGAAGAAATAATTGAAATATCCCTGTTGAGGTTCCCCTGGCGAGGCCCAAATGTAGGCAAAACAGTTTCCTTTATAGGGCTTGCAAGAGATTGAACGATGTGTTGAGCAGGAGCGAATTTAACATTGACATATTCAATTCTAATGCGAACTCATTAAAGCGTAAACTTATGGGCGCGTTTACTATTATATTATATAGTTATGTTTAGTGGGCGATCATTTCGTGGCGCAGGTATTGGGATATATATGATTTACATTAAATATATATTATATTTTGTATATTTTATTTATGCTTTAAATTAAGTGTATTTGTTACATCTTAATTTTATTTGCTGTTACCTTGCTTGCTAAGTGCTCGTTGTTATTAGTCATTATGATACTATAAGCGAAAACCTTTGATTGGCTGTAATGTATTTGATAATGTTTTTATTAATTTGTTGTAAAGCGGTTAGTTTTCCAAAAAAAATAAATCCCTAGACAATATTGGAGTTTCAAGTATTTCTTTCTAATCAAGTTTTGGGGTTCTTTTCTTTTTTATTCGTCCAACTGCTGGGTACAGATTCATATAAAATGTTAATGAAAATTCATACATGTATGGACATACCCATTTCACCATCAATGCGTATAAAATTTCTTTTTTTACTGTTTATTTTCTACCTACCTTGAGGGGGTGGTACTTCTGTAGTGGTTCCATTCAAATTTGAAGAAAATAAAGGGTGGCAAATTAGGGGACGAATCCGGTATATTGGACTTCACCCACTTTCCGCTAATCGATTTCAATAAAACTTGGCAAATAGATGTAATTCTACAAACTTTTGAGGTCAGTTTTTTTTGTAAAAAAAAAAAAAAATATTTTAGTCTCATAATCCACTTATATTTCGGCCCTTGAATATTTTTAATGTAATATATTATACACACCCTAGACCTTTTACCAGCCACTTTATAAATATATATATATATATATATATACACACAATACCACTGACAACACTACATTTCTAGTAGTACAAAAAATACAAAAAGCTAAGGAAGAAATGCGTTTGTTTTACCTGATCGCGTATGGAATGTGTGGCGAGATGCGACAATGCGGCGTGCTGTAGGGTGTCCAGATAGCTGTGCCTTCTTGAAGGCTGCACGCGCAGCAGTCCCGAGACCAGTTCGCGCCACTCCCGCGACGGCCCGTCCGGAGAGGGCAAGAAAGGAGGCCCGCCAGTCGGATCGCGCTCGTATCTGGTTTCACATTAAGTACATTATTTTAACCTCCCAAAACACAGCAAACTACAATGGAAAAATCAAAACGCCGAATGTGCACCAAAATGTACTAATTACATGATTGGTGGTGTACTGCTGGATTCCGTCCGAAACAATTACCTAATGTCAAATAAGTAATACTCATCCAAATTAAAAAACGACGAAAGAGATTAGCACGTGATCGTGGGGAGTGGCACAGAAATTTGGAGGCTTATACCCAGCAGTGGGTGAAGTCAGGCTGTATATGATGATGATGATGATGATGCGAATGAAGCGTCATATTCGACATTGTCTTTTGATTTGGTCGAGTATTACCTATTTAACAGTTATTGTTTCGGATGGAGAATGGGAGCAGGGGGTCTACTCTCGATCTACGTCCGACATCCGTCCGAAACAATTACTGCCAAATAAGCAATACTTGACCAAATGAAAAGACGCATGATGCGAATGAAGCTTCATTCTTGATACTTGTATTAGGTATTATTACGAGTAGTATATTGTATTATGTACTTGTGTAGGGAGTGGATGTTTGCGTACAAAAACTACATTAGTTTTAAATTACGCAGTTATAAACCACTTTTTATTTTATGTAAAACTCTACGACGTTAACATATAACAGAGCAATAAAGATTTTATATTAAACAATATTTTAATTGTGTGAAAACCCTAATTAGGTTAATGTCTTTCTGTGAATATAAATGTCAACGTTCTTTTTTATTTTAGTAGCAGTAGAGCTCCTTGGGAAAGAGTTCGTCCAAGGAAGTACTGCCATCTTATCTATTTCTATTGCCAAACAGTAAGTAATGTTAGTATTACTGTGTTCCGGTTTTGAAGGGTAAGGGTGCTGGTGAAATTACAGGCACATGGGACTTGTCAACTTATGTCTCAGGGTGACGGGCGCAGTGGCAGTGTCCCTCAGATCTTTGCGATTTAAGTAATTGAAAAACCAAATACAAAAATTCGACAACAAGCACATAGCAAAATTCGTGAGGTCCGCTGGTTCATTCCGTGGCTTAGTTGGCATAGCGTCTGACACGGTTTGCTAGAAGGCGTCGGTTCGAATCCGGCTGGATCGAAGGAATTTTTTCTCAGACTAACTAGACATTTGAATGCTATTTAATATAATATGCGAAACATGTTTGTACAGGCACTGTCTCTCGTAACATCTTTGTTATACCATGTTTTAAGCAAATAAACGAATTATTATTATTAAGTGTGCGATGTTTGTATTAATAATTATAATAATAATACATTTTTTTTATTCCATTATTCCTAGTACCCACAATAAAGCAACACATACCATTATAAAGTACACATATTTTCCTATAAATCTAACCACATGTCACTTTTGTTATGCCTGCCGTGGGTACATAGCTTTTATATTTTGGTGTGCAAAGATCTTTGGATGCAAAATTTTCATTACAATGTACACTACGCGTTTACGTTATTCGCTATTATCATCAGTCTATCGCAGTCCACTGATGGACACAGGCCTCTCCCAATATGCGTCGTTCGCCGTTCGCCTGGCCGTGAGCTTGTCGCACCCAACAGCTGCCAGGAGTCTTTCGCAGATTGTCAATCAATCTGGCTAGAGTGCATACAGTCGACATTGACTGCGAGCAGTTATTGCTGCGCACCTAACACAGGAGCTCAGTGTACTTGTTTATTAATGTCGAACTAATAAAATAATAATACTTCACATTTTATTAAGAAAATAAACATGTCACTATCGAAGACCTTCATTTTATTTCTTAACAAACGACTTACTACTTGACTTGTTGCACTATAATACTATATTATTTCTATAAAATAGAAGGTGATGCTTTTTAACATTAATATGATAACACTTACTTTTGTATATTAGCAAGTATGGCCGAGATGGAATCGTCGTCGGTAGCGGAGAAGGGTCTTCGCAGGGTGACCAGCTCGAACGCCACTACCCCGAGCGACCAGTAGTCGCACGCCGACTGCAACACGTTACAGTAATATTGACCAACAAATATTTAAAAACATCCTAAGTAAGGAGAATTTGAGAGCTATGTTTGACCGTCGTAACGTACACATTGAACTTGTTGTAAAGTATCAAAACAAGTATGTTGTAAACTATTGAATTCTAAACACGTTAATGTACATATTTGCAACGGGTCTTACGCAACTGAATTTTACAAAATTGTAAGTTAAAAAAATGTGTTTTGAGAGCTTACAAATAAACGTTAGTATGTTATTACACTCCAAGCGCCCGGCGTAGTTAACATTATTAATTCACAAACGCAACTCTACATACTACAATAACTACAACACAATCAAATAAGCAAATAACAAAAATATATATTACACTTTACATCATCTCTACTATACTATTTTCAACCACTACCTTAATCAAATTTATCAAAATTCATACTATATATAATTGATTTACAATTTACATTCATGCTAACATTAAAATGTACTTTAAAATGATCACATAAGGCTCAATTTTGCAAAACCATTCAAACTACGGACATTTACGGACAATTTATTTCTTTGCTAACAAAACAAGTAAAATAATAAATAAATAACGCACACACTCAACATAGCCCCGCACTAGGGAAACCCTGTGTCGCGGGTGCCATGGACACACATATAGACAGCCACAAATTACACCCAAACTCACGAGAGAAATAAATGTAGGCCATACAAACATTTCTCCCGGCCCGGGAATCGAACCTGGGACCTCTGCGTGGCAGTCCGGCATGGTAACCGTTCGGCCACGGAGGCAGAAAAAAATATCTGATTTAGTTTTTTTCTTCAAATGTCGCTCTATATTATGTCTGCCATGACGCGTTGCATTTTTTGAACAATAACTTAAATATCCCCAATTATATTTCAATTTTTATTGTAATTTGATTTTTTTTATTGAAACTTTAATTTTGAACTAGTATTTTATTTTTATTATATACACTAGTAACGTAATGGGATTTATGCCTAAATAAATAATTGAATTAGTATTCAATAAAAAAACTAAGGGTATTTTGGAGAAGGTCTACCCCGAGTTCAACACTCATATGCTTTGTGTTAATCACGGCTACAAAAACTTGCCACAACCAGCTCTAAAAACAAGTGTAAGTAAAGCTAAAAGCGTCGTGCCAACCCACAATGGCAGTATTCACAATGCCGCGACAAGACTGGAGACAGACTGAGTGTCGTTGGGCGCAGTCAGCAGCTGCCAGCAGCTCAGGAGCCACGTAGTCTGCGGTGCCCACTGGCACTTCGGCGCAACTGCCGTCTGACAGACGAGCGCACGAACCCAGGTCGCCGAGCTTCACGTGCCCGCATCTATTGTAAATCACAAATAAGTTGTAGCTGGTTAACCAGTTTTGATGTTGCACGTAAAGAGAGCAGGATATAATAAATTGTAGTATAGCTAGGCTATAATTATAATCTAACTGCAACATCTGGTGCATATTGCTTGGTTAGCAATTAAGTTCATGTTTTATTTTAAATTGTATATTTTCTCACTCATATTCTGGAGACCAAGCAATAAACATGTATCTTTAAATCAACATACATCACTCTATCATCTACATCCATCCTTTTTAATAATATGAGACAATAGTCTCAGTCCACATACGAACTGCCTTCGTGGCCGATAGGTTACCATGTTGGTCTACCATGCAGAGGTCCCGGGCTGGGAGAAATATTTGTATGGCCTACATTTATTTCTCTCGAGAGTTTGGGTATGATTTGTGGTTATCTAAGTGTGTCCATGGCACCCGCGATACAGGGATTCCCTAGTTTTTTTTTATATAATGTCAAGTGACGGCACGAACAAAAGTATGCAGTGTAAACATTTTACGTTTTAACAAGCATTTAGGGTTCCCATAAAAGCAAAAATAGGGAATCTTATAAGATCACTTGCCAGCCGATATGTTTGTTTTCGTACTCTGTTATATGTGTGCAAAATGTCTAATACCTGTCTAGCAAAATATTGTGAGGCTTCACGTCCCGATGCACGTATCCCATGTTGTGCAGTGTGTTCAGCGCGTGCGCAGTCTCGGCCACGTAAAAGGCCGCGTCGCGTTCGGACAACGGATGGTTGCGCCGAGAAAGCAAACCGGCCAGGTCGCCACCGTTGCACAGCTCCATAACTAGGTACAGATTGCTGCAATCCTGTAGTCAAGTCATATCATTGCATGAGAAATGAAGAAATGTATTATAGTTGATTTTAATTACGACAAAAACGGATGAACATAGCTTGTGGCAGCCCGGTGTTAAATAAATGTACAAATATATGTGAAGTAATTGTTTATTTTACTTTCCTACAAAAAATGTAAAAACATTTTATTACTATTACATATGATACATGTTAACAGTATTCAATTTGAATTAAATACCTACATATTTATTTTAAATATTTCCATTATTTACTCAGGAGCAGAAGTGCACCTTGTGAAAGAGTTCATCTCAACTTCAACTCTTTCACAAAGCCACATTGCCACATTACCCATTTCTGCTTGACATTACTGCATTCCAGTTTTCAAGGGTGTAAAGGTACTGGTGAAATTCTGTAATTTGTGGTGACTTAACTCAATTTTTTGGTCAAATGTGAGTGGTCCATAGAAATGAATAACATTAACAATTTTTTTTAATGCTAATGAACTCAGTTTCTTGTAAGGATCATTTTATTGTAACAGAAAATAAAATCAGGACAGCAAACATTGGTCAAATTTAATGAAATGTTTTTTCTAACTATGACAAATTAGTTTTCACAAAAAAGTACCTTATGTATTCCTAAGACAGTTTCTCTGTATCTCATTTGGTTTCAAAAATCACAGTGTATATTATGTAAATACAAATAATGTACCTGAAAAGCATATTGCAGTTTGGGTAACCAAGGGCTGTTAGAGTTCGCCAGTACGTCTCTCTCGTCCTCCGCCGCGCCGGCGGCACGCGCTCGCACTGCCTCTTTGCGCACATTTTTCAACGCGTACACATCCCCTGTTTGCTTCTCACGGACCATCTGAATTATATTGTAATAACATTAAAACATATTAATTAGATTTGCAGAATCAAGTACATAACATTGGAAATTACTATACCTATACTAATAACTATTTCTCAGATTTTAATCTCATACAATTGTTTTTTCAAACAAACTAAACCAGGCAAGCTAGTTTTTAACGGTCCCATGTTCACTGTCTGTTGATTTTCAAAGGTGTGGAATGATGGTTTGTTTGAAAAAACAAATATACACACAACAGATCAAAAAAGATACTTTTATTTCCAATTCACAAGCACATATTAGTGCTAAAAATAGTTTCCCTTATCTCAAATGCTTAAGGATAAAACCTTTTTGTTTGATAAATGGTAAATTGGAAACCATACAAATAGACTGCCTCTTTACGAAAGGTTACCATGCCGGACTGCCATGCAGAGGTCCCAGGTTCGATTCCCGGGCCGGGAGAAATATTTATATGGCTACATTTATTTATCTCGTGAGTTTGGGTGTAATTTGTGGTTGTCTATGTGTGTGTCCATAGCACCCGCGACACAGGGTTTCCCTAGTGCGGGGCTATGTTGAGTGTGTGCGTTATTATTATTATTATTATTAAAAAATTTATAAACAATAGGTTGGTACACTTACATGGACTTCTCCAAAATGGCCCCTGCCAATTGTTTGCAGGACTTCAAAGTCAGAGTAGCAGACTCGGGTGCGCCGCAGCTCGGCCAGCGTGCTTCGGTCTACAAAATACAACCATACAAATCATACTGTTCACATATAGGAACTTATTTCCATTCATTTCTGTAACCTGTTGCAGGACAAATATGAATTCTCTTAAAGAGTGCATTGTTGTCTAGTGCATTGTGGTTTAGAAGCTCCTCCATCTATTTTAAATAAAAAACATCCATATGACAGAGAATTATAATTATGGAAAAAACTGAACTCTTTACAAAAATAAATTTAATAAAAAATGTAATTGTAAAAAAAACTGTGTTAGAATGTGCATGACATGCACTAGTTTTTCTGTCATAGGGGCACCTTTCCGTAGTACGTTTTATTTTGGTAAGATTCTTGAAAACAAAGTTTTGTTATTTGTGAATACAAAATTGTTCACTAAAAAAGTTCACTCTTTGTAATAATTGACATAATATGCTTGTGCAGTTTATGAAGAGCACTGTCCAAAATATACATATTATGTCACAAACATAAGGCAAAAAAATCACTTCAAAAGTCCTTGTGTATGTTTTTGGTGATTTTTACGGGTCAGTATAGTAAAAGTTGAATAACTTTTGAACCATCAATTCAGAGATCCCAATAGTCAAACTGATTGGAAATACCCAATCCTACCTCCTCATTTCGTTTTGGCCATCCTGTACAAAGGCACTTTATTATAAAGTGTGTAAATGCTATGGAAAGGTCAGTTAGCACAGACATCCAGAAAAGGCAAACATTACAGCTTTTCTTTCAAAGCTAGCACCAGTATATGTCCACGAAGAATCTACACGCTCATGGCGTACTTTTAGGTTTAAATTTGTAAATAACTTGATAATCATTTACATTGGTACGAATGACTAAATTGTGTATTTAACCGTGTGAAGGCGATTAGGAAGAATGGTTTTTATGAGTGTTAAATGTTGCATAAGAAATATCTTACATTTGTCCACAAATGATTTGACGAGGTCGTCGCACTTTTTAACAGGATCATCATTGCATTCATCGTATAAAACTGTGAGGGCATCGAGGAGTGCCTCGCGATCTATTGTCTTCCGGAGTTTACTCGCACCACTAGTCACTTTCCCTAAAATCTGTCGATTAAGACGCGTAATACGCACCGCAATTGGATCTTTTGACGGCTCCATTATCACTTTTATATTCTCTTTGCTACTTAAGTTTCCATGCTTTGTTTATTTACTGATAATTGAAATAATTGCAGTTCAGATCCAAATTCACTTTAGAGCCCGGTATTTTTGCCGTTATTTTGAAAATCGAATATTGACAGGCTGAATAAAGTGTTGCCATATTCAAAAATAAAAAAAGGAGGCGCACATACTGCTTCGATGAATAACTCAGAGAACGCAATCATTTTAAAAATGCTTAACTTCCGGTATACTATTTATAAACTTGCTACTCACAAGCAGATGGCGCTAGTTAATTCCTAGTAGTTTCGGTATATGTCACCAGATGATGCTATTTCATTTCAACTACAACTAAACACCCAACTATTTTTAAAATCATGCCAATAGCTATAAATAAAAAGTGCTAGAAACAAGGAAGAAAGAGTTTTTAAATTTATTTATTTTAAAACAAACTATTTTGCCTTGTCGAGTGGCGAATATGCTACAAAAGTAGTACAATAGAGAAAACACCTAATCATAATGAATATTCATTAAGACAAGTACTAAAGCTAAGTTCTAAGTTTCTATCACAGATTACAGAATATACAGATACACAGTCCCATACAAGAAAATGAGTCCGGTTTCTATGTACATGGATGACAAAAATCCATGGTCTATAACGTTTGAAATAAATATTGTAAATGATAAATGTGTACCAATGTATATTTTTCAAACGCACACAGTCAACATAGCCCCGTACTAGGGAATCCCTGTGTCGCGGGTGCCATGGACACACACATAGACAACCACAAATGACACCCAAACTCGGGAGAGAAATAAATGTAGGCCATACACATACTTCTCCAGGCGTGGGAATCGACCTCAGGACCTCTCCGTTCGGCCACTGAGGCAGTTTTTTATGGTAAGATAGTTAACAACTTACTATTGGACCGCTTATATGGTGGCGGTGGCACTGGCACTAGTTGAGTTTCATATTTAGTGTTGTCAGTAAGATTAATTAAGTTCTTTATAATTTGTAATAAGGTCAGGGTTCAAATAATTTGGTATAAAAAATGTAATTAAGGGGACGTCCTTAATTACATTTTTTATACACTACAAGATTCGTTGATTCACTGTTAAGGTTATCATTTTGCATTTGTGTCTTCCCTCCTACAGATGGCGTAGCGATCGAAATGCATATCTCTTGCCGTCACAAGATTTTTCCTCGAATTTTAATTACATGCAAACAAAGATCCTAATATTTATGATTAAAACTTCTCTAAACTTTCCAAACTAACACTCATAAGCGGTGGAGACTATATTTTTAAACGTGAGATTCTGAAAGTACCAAAACCAGTTCACGATCTTTTTCGATATTTCTCTGCTGTGACATTTTTTAATGTCACGCACACGAGAATTGGCCACCAAGTCTTTCGACATATACAACGGCACCAGCAGAAGTGCATTCTTTTGCTTTTCTTAGTTTTATAAATATTTAATTTGAAAAAAAAAAATTACAAATAAATATAATCAATGTAAAACACCAATGGTGTAAATACTGGCTTGCTGTAAATTGTACCGAGGTAATACTGACTAAACTTGACTGATAATATGAATAGAGCTTAGCTCGCTCGCTTAGCTTAGGGTTATGACCCTATTTTTAAAAAACTGCTTTGCGGCGATGGGCGGTGCTAGCCCATGTCGCGCTTGAGTGCAATTAATACCCTGGCGCTCTGTAGTAAGCACGCGTCCAAAATGTAATACTTACATTTAAGCGTGAAACACAGAGAGCGGGTGCGGTTCGGGCTCGGACCAGGTCGGGACCGCACCAGGTCTAATTACGTGTATTTATATCGCGCGGGAGGGGCGCACGAGACGGGCTCGGCCGCGCTCGATGTGTTGTCGTCCGTATAAATACACAGAATTACACCCGCCGCGGTCCCGACCCGACACGCACCTGACCCGCACCCGGTCTCTGTGTGTTTCCCCAATGATCGGAAATTCGAGTGCAAATGGTGTAATTATAAATATTGGGAAGCAATGGCCTGTTTACTTTACTTAGGTTGCTTGCGACGCGCAGGCTCTATGGAGGTGTCGCGATTGACTGTCAGTGCCACTTAAGACGTGTTACGCCACACACCCTGCACTATAGTTAAAGCCAGCACTGCTGCTTTGAATCGCTAACTAATGACTTAGTCAGGTGATTTAAAGGCGTAAAGAGGATTTATTAAGGGTTCAGATTAAAACAGCGAATTGAATTAAATATATCCTTCAATTTAATTTACTTATTTTGTAAAATGTATTGAAATACAATAAGTACCCATAGTTCCATATGTACAGATTTTGCTAAATAATTTCTCACGAGTGTTTCACTTAAAAAAAAACATTATACATATGTCACGTAGCACGTTACACACTACATATTATATTATACTCAATAAAGTATCACAATAAGCACTTAAATATATCTCTACATTAGAAAACTAACAAATACCTACCTACAAAAAGTTCTAACAATTAAGGAATTCTTAAATCATCACCATTCGGGGACCTAGGTCCTTATTCTTTGGTGTTGTAGTTTTCATCCTTAAACGTCACGTCAGTCAACCAGGTAAACATACTCCCAACCAAACAAAGAATCCAGTTGAAAGGTGAGGTCTTCGTTGATTGGTCGCAGCTAAGTCTAGTGATGTGATTAATCGATATCGAGTTTTCTGAAAGCGCCGATCGTTCCATACATGTCACAGTCTGGTATTTTGCTGGAGGTTGTGGTACAGATTTCGTTTAGATCGCGGAGGTACTCTCTATGCTCATCGACGCGCCGTCTCCATTTCTTGGCTAGGACGTCGATAGATTCTTCTTCGCCGCCCCATTCTGCTGGCAGTACACGCGCCGGGATGTGGTCTAAAAGTTCATCTACTTTCGGATGTACGTAGTACTGTAACAATAATACAATCTTTTACTAAACTAATAAATGGAAATGCAGTATTTATATTTACTTAAACGATTTTTCAGAATTAACGAATTCATTGTCACGATCGCGTGGAAATATCCAGAAGGCACGATTTTACTTTACGATTTTTTACGGTTCTAGTAACAAAATAACTATTAATAACTACATTCCAAAACCGGTTCATATCTCAGATTCTCGAGTCTAAAAACAAACTCAACTCAGCATGCCCGCTACACATAATTTTGTTTAGTACGCCGTTCGTGATTTTATCAAAAACAAAGAATTTGTGAGTCATCACTATTGCCCATTGAAACTAAAAATAACATACATATGTTGATATCTTTATTTACATTGATCGAAATAATTCCCGATTGTGGAGAATGGAGCTTATTCTTTACACTAAAAAGTATCTATGTAAGTATTTGAGGACTAAACTAAATTAATTTGTAACATGACTGATCTTGCCGCGTACTTACATGTAGGTACCTCAATCTCAATGAGGAATCAAGCACGCCTTAACAATGCCTATTCACCCTCACTTGGAAAAGTTCTAAGTTGTAGCGGGAATAAGTCTGCAGGCAGGGAATTCAACTTCATAGCTGTTCGCCATATTGGATCATCCACAACATAGGGTGAAACCCAAGCCTACGTCTAGTCCCCCTATGATGGAAAGGGAAACGCGGCATTGTTGAATGGAGTTGTAGATCCACAGATCTTTTCTCTGCCGCAACCTACCTAGGTGTAAAGTCTATTCAACGACTTCCCTACGGGTCACCAAAAACTAATTTACTGGGAGCAATATACGGACTGAATTTTTTATACTATATTTTGTACTATTGTAATTTAGAATAAATCTTCTTTACCTATATGAAACTATTCATAATGTTGACAAATAATATTATAGTACGTTTGTTGTACTGCAGATTATAAGAAACTAAACATTTATGAAATATGATTGCGCAATCGCGGCTATTTTTATCTTAATGTATATGTTCGTTCTCGTGGAGGCCCGACATTAAGCGGTTGGACAGCCTTACCCTACGACCGTCCTACTTTAGACTATAAAAAATTACAGCACCAAAATAAATACGAAACTTAATACAAACACTGAAAACTTGAGTATATTTTTCTGTTTTTATCAAGTTGTTGCGTCATACGTTTTTTATTGTACCAAACAAATAAAAAAGAAATATCAATTATATGATAAGGTGCCAGATTTGCTCGATTTTTGGCAATCTACTTTTTTCTGTTGTCTTATGAGAGCTTCATATCTGGCCACGATTTGCCATGGCTGTTGAGTGTCCGAATAGATTTCAGACTCGTCAGTCCATGCACAAAGAATTGCTTTGCTACCGTTTTGGGTTTTCTCTGCGAGTACAAGTACTATTCCTAAAATGAATTGAATTGAATTGTATTGTAATAACAAACTTTTTGTTGACCTATTGTACAATAAATATTTCAATCATAACAAAAAAAACCTTTTAATACAAAAAACTTGCACATCTCGCCATTTTTGTTTAGCCAAAGTCAACAATCTCAGGTCTACTCCCGTTCTCCGAAGCAATTATTATCAAATAATTAATACTCGAAATTAAGAAAGAGACGCATGATGCGAATGAAGCTTCATACTTGACATTGTGTTTTGATTTGGTCGGGTATTACTTATTAGACAGTAATTTACCGTTTTTACTGGGTTAGCCGAAATAGGGCCAAGTGCCAACTTGCAAGATGTAAGCAGTTGGGAAAAAATAAGAAGAAATAAACCCTGATTCCAGTTTAACTGAACTTGACACTTATACATACAAAGAAATACGAAACATTACAAAGAGAAATCGAAATGGTACTAAGCTATGTACACAAACTATCTACACATAAGCTATGCCACACTATCCCATCACTTAGAGTCATAAAAAAAACATAAAGATGACATAATGAAATATGAAATATTTATCTACCGCGTGTACTCGCCAATTATTACCGGAATGCATAGAAAACATGTAAAGATGATGTTTTGTAATTCATTTTTCACTCACATATTTTTAAAGTCATTATAAATTCTGTAAATGGGTAACTATCAGGTTAGTTTTTTCTACTTAATTTCGGTGGTGATTTTTATTATTTGATATTGCCGCAACCTTCACCAGGTAATCAGTTCACCTTGTGGGACTGCCAACGCTGCGTCTATATTCTACAATATTTATATAATAAAAATTGCCACCGAAATTAAGTAGAGAAAAGTAGCCTGAAAATTACCCAAATATTTTACTTTTTCGCAACTAGCAAGGAAAGTTTCAAAAGTGTACTAAAATCATGTTTTTAAGTCATAAACTATGTTCGGCAGCTGCCTTAAAAGCCATAGGACACTGGAGGAAACTTCGGTATACAGAGTGTTTTTTGTTTAATGGGACAGTCAGTATGGGAAAATCAGAAACCATAGACCAAATACAAGGAAACTGTCTTAGGAACCATTAAGAATTAATAAAAAGAAAAAAAAGAATTGTTTTGTGAAAATAATTATGGCTTAGTCAAATTTTTGGTCAAGAGTTGTCCATAAAAATGAATGAAATTGATCAAAATGTTTCAGTTTCACGAAGGGATTATTTCGTTGCATGAGACGAAAAAATCGGGACAGCCGAAGTTGGTCAAATTTATTATTTTTTTTATACAAAATCTTTAAAATGGACTAATGACTTAGTTTGTTATAAGTATGATTTCATTATATGGAAAGAAAAATATCGGTACAGCAGAAGTTGGTTAAATAAATAAAATTATTTTTCATATCATTTTTTTTGTTATCTTCAATGGTTTCGGATTTTTCCATATTGACTGTCCCTTTTTAAAAGAACTCTCTTTCAAAAAAGTGCCGGCGGCGGTGGCGTTTCGGCGGCGCGAGCACGACCCTAAAACGAATTTGTACATCGGTGTTTGTTTTTATAAAAACCGTTATACAAATACTTTTTCAAAGGACAAAATAAAATAACATATTTTCTATAGTAATCAAATTTTTATCAGTTCGATCAGGCGCTCCGACCGTACGCACGCGCAATCTTCCATATTGTGTATGCGTAGTGAAAATGGCGACGCGAGAAATTGACAAATTATTTTTTTAAACAAAACATCTTTAAATATAAAGTCACTAACTAACTTTTATCGCCTATCTATGTCACCTCTGCAGAGGCCGGACGGCACGCAGGTCTATACTGCAGATGACAAGGCAAATCTTTTTACCTCACTCTTTGCAAAGAGTTCGCATCTGAATCTAATCTTACCTCAGGCTGGCTGCACTATGGCGCCAATTCGCATACGGCAAAAAGAGGTACTTAGAACTCTGCGGAATCTAGACGTGAATAAAGCTAGCGGGCCAGATGGATTCCAGCACTAGTCCTACGTAAGTGTGCGCCTGAGTTGTCTCCTGTTCTCCCACGCCTACGCCTGTACCGCTCTCTCGTCTCACTTGAGACTGGTATAGTTCCCGGTCGTGGAAGCTTGCAAACGTGTAACCTGTGCCGAAAAAGGGAAGCAGAGCTGACTCTGTCAACAATAGACCTATCTCAGTCACTTCCATACTCTGCAAAACTATGGAACGTGTACTCAACAACCGTCTCTTGTCGTACCTTGAAGACAACGACCTCCTCAGTGATCGCCAGTACGGATTCCGACGATCAACTGGGGATCTTCTTGTGTATGCCTGTCACATATGGAGCGAGGCTATAGAAAAGCAAGGTGAAGCACTTGCAGTGTCTTTGGATATTTCTGAAGCCTTTGACAGTGTCTGGCACGTACACCTTTTAAGTAAGCTTCCCTCTTATAGGCTTCCCACTGACCTTTGCAATTGGATCTCGGATTTCTTGACCGAACGTTCGATTCGAGTGGTTTTAGAAGGCTACTCTTCCGAACATATGGCGATAGATTAATCAGGGTTCCGCACTCTCTGCAACTCTCTTTTTGCTGCATGTCAATGATGTGTTAATTCCAGGTACCTTTACGTGTGCTGATGATAACACACTTGTAGATAGGTACCTACTGGACCAATGCAAGGGTCAGTGGAGAGAAAATCCAGTCTTGTCGAGAGCCCACTGTTAGCTGTTTGGATTTGATACTCAAAGCAGTCTCCGATTGGGGTGATACCAAATTTAACGTTACCAAAACGCAGGTGTGTTTATTCTCCACAAAACGGAGTCCCTTTGAGCTGACTCCGACTTTTCGTGATATACCTATCCACACCAATAGCCAACTGTCTCCAACTACTTAGGATGGACCTGTCGTCCAATTTGTACTTCGGCAGATACATTGAAGCCATGGCCAAACGTACAGCAAGGAAGCTTGGGATCCTTTCCAGGGTGAGGCGTTACTTCACACCGGGACAAGCACCATATCTTTCTACGTTAGTTTTGATTATAGTGACCCTCCCTACCTACCCTTAGGGTATACGAGAAGGACACTATAACCTGTGCGCGCACAGGAACTTTACAAGTTCAGGTTCTGACCCCAGATCAGCCAGTGTACAGGGTTCTCACAGACCTCTGTCACTTGACTTCATCCGGTTCTTCGAGAGGCTAGTGCCTGCTGCTGTAGTGAGCCGCCCCGGGTGCATGTACATTACCCTCCCTATTTTTCAGATAGGTACCGGAGCTGTAGGCATGCTCACTTCGGAAAGTGAGCATGCATTGCGAAACCCGTTGTGCAATGCGCAACGGGTTGCGCCGTTGTGCAATGCGCAACGGGTTGCGCATTGCACAATTAGCACTACCACTAAACTAAACTAAACTAGCAGTTGCCACCGCTAAGCCGTCAACTCCACTACCATATCTCCTCATTGGTGGCGGCGCTGTAAGGCACGCCCACTTCCCGACGCCGAAAAACGACGTCTCTCTAGTTCCCAATAACTTAAACGGCTGGAGGGACCGGAGGATATCTAGCTTATCCTCTACTAGCTCTCCGGGCTAGTGCCGGAGATGCCAGTCGCAGTGTCCTTCGACAATGTCCGGACATAGCTTCCAACTTAAAGGGCAACTCACATGGCCCGCGCGTTTCCTCTCATATGGGCCCTCAACTCGACCGCTACTAAGACGCGCTAGCTGCTCACGAGACAGACGCCCCGAACACATGCAAAACCGGGACAGACAAACAAGTCAGTCTCTGCAGCTAACCACAAACCCAAGAGAGTCCATACCCAAGTCCGGGTCTTGGCCCGGACGCCCGCTGTACTCTGGTCTTGCCGTCGAGCCCGTAATCTCTCCGGAAAACCCTATCTCTCGGGTCGGTAGATAGGGACATCTCGGGTCGGTAGATAGGGACAGTTGTGTGACAGTGGCGCGGCGCTCATGTCTAATCACAGCACAATACACCTATTCCGACACCGAGAGAGAAGAGTGAGAATGTTGCCTCACGGTAATTATTGCTTATACAGTTAATGTTGCGATAAAATTATTGAAAACACCCAACAAACTATGATGATTGATAATTGAAATTAAAAGGAATAGGCGTTTAAATCGATCAAATTGCGATAGTAAAAACACAAACTAAAATTGGGTTAAGCTATTACGAATTTTAACGATGTTTCTTTCTGTGTACCCAAATTGGTAACTATTCAAATGAAATTAAATACTGCTATGGCTGAAAACTAGTTAAGAAAATACGCCACGAAAATGACGATGGTAATAATTTTCATGACAAGAGCGACAGAAAAATTTTGTGAAGTTTAGTGTATATGCAAGACGATAAAAGATCTTCCACTCATAAAAATAATTCACTAGGATTGTTGACATTCCCATCCAACGTAAAGTCACATTTAAAATTGAGGAAGCAAAAAGATTAACATATTCTTAACATAAGACATGTCTCAGAATTAACACTTACCCGTCTACGAACTTTCTCGTTGACACAAGATCGCATGAGCTGCAGAGGTGAGATGAGGAATGGTGGGGCCCCTACGACATGCACGCGCTTTAGCCTCTGAGGGTAGGCAGCCTGGGCGAGGTAGATACCACGGCGGATGGCACCAAACGCACCAGCTAACTTTGTTACCAATGATCCTCGAGCTCCTGATATCTGGGGATAATTTAATTAAAAGAGCTCAAAAAACAAAGAACGACATAAAAAAGTTTACTGGAGACTACCAACAATCTCGCTTTTTTTTGTATGATGCCAAGTGACGGGACGAACAAGTTATGGGCCTTTTTTTTTGACGGGGGGAAATCTTTATGGATACCCCTGAGCCCAGGGAGACTCAGGGGTTATTTATTTATTTATTTATTTAATAGTTTATTGTACAGGAGAAATACAACAAGTCACAAAGAATACAAGCGAAATTAAAAACAAAAGGTTCTGCTTATTTCTAATAGAAATTTCTTCCTGCAGACCTAAATACAGGACACCATAACTAAAAGAACGGGCATATGTGCACAACAAAACAAGAAAAAAAAAAAATATATTAAATTGTTATAAATTATATAAATACTTAGATAAATACATATTTTAAAATATAATACCTAAGATATGGATGGAATAGTAGATAAATAATGCTCCTTAACTCTCACTTTAAAAATAGCTAACGATTTACTTTCGTGAACAGTAATAGGAAGTGCATTCCAAAGTCTGACCGCATGAACAGTGAAATAGTGAGAATAGAAACCGGAATTGAAGCATGGAAAAGATAACTGGGACCTAACAAGAGAGCGACAGGGTTTATCCTGGGACCTAAGGAAGCTGAAACGCTCTTTCAGGTACCCGGGGTACCCGGGGTTATGTGGGGACTCTCCCTCCACACTGGAAGGGACAAGTTATGGGCCTGATGGTAAGCAACACGACTGTCCATAGCAGTTGCAGAGCCGCTCAGAATTTTAAATCGCAAAGATCTGAGAAGCACTGCTATTGCGCCCGTCATCCTGAGACATAAGTTAACAAGTCCCATGTGCCTGTAATTTCACCACCACCCTATTAAGCCACATATGATAAATGACAACTTTTCAGGAGAGAAGTTTTAAGATTTTACAAATGAAATTGGTCTATAAAATTTTTTTTATGCTTAAATAGAAGACTTTTGTTCGTCGCGTCGCTTCGTCAGTATTTTTTTTATGTCGGTATGTTTAGAGAAGCATAAGGATGTTGCTAGTGCATTCACTTTAATTTAAGTTGTTTTTTAATCGTCTTACTCCTCTCTCATTGTGACATAATATTTAATTGAATAATGTAGAAAAAAATAAATAATTTGTATTTACAAAAATTGGATGACAATATCAATTAGGTCCGTAGTAGTAGTTTGGCTTAAATCCGGCCCTGTATAACATTAACATTGAGAGGTACGCCAATCTAATAGCTCGTTGTAATGTAGCTGGTATAATATTAGAAATCCTGCTTCCGCAAACTCTATCGCCGAACGCACGGCTAGCCGGTGACGGCAATAGAACAGAGTGGTTATACTCAAGAATGTGGAACACTTAAAAAAAGGTAGTCTCTTTGGATTTGCGTCGTATATTTTAAGTACCAAAGCAGGTAAAATCAAGCCGTTACAAAAAATTGTAATGTAGTTTTTGTCAGCGAATTATTAGGTCCAAAACTAGTTGTCGACTCGGTAATTAAGACAAGTATAATAAGGTAATTCCCGCCATTTAGGCGTGTACATTTTAAACAACGACCGAACGCTTCGATTCTAGATAATGATTAATTAATGTTGCGTGTGACGACGCGCTATGCAACACGAGAGCACCGTGAGATTATGGGAATGCTTGCGCATACTATGGTATTATAACTATGGTAGGTTTTATTTTTGTAAACTTTTTCACCTTATGAATTACTGCTTTAACTTAGACATTTGGACACTAAACAATAGACATTCCCTGAGCACACATAGAAGTCTTATTATCGTATCGATGACATAGACTTGCAGCCCAGAACTATACGACTTGTTTGCCATCGTGGTGAAAGAACTTGCCAATAGGCAAGTTCTCGCAGATTATTGCCCAGGGTGCGACAGGCGTATAGGAAATGTGAATAGTACATTTTAGGGGATGCTCCTTTCATTCATTCATTAATTTATTCATTCGTCCATTAATTCATTCCTTTCGTGCACTTCTTCTTCACACACACACACCTTCATTCCATTACAAGTGCATATAGAGCATATATAGGTGCACATTACAGGTGCATTTGAAGTACTGCTACCGCATCTATTTCTGCCGCCAAGCATTACTGTGAGGGTATTGGTGAAATTACAGGCACATGGGGCTGGCCAACTTATGTCTCAGGGTGACGCGTTGTAGCAATGCCCGTCGGGTCATTGTGATTTAAAATTCTAAGTGGCTGTACAACTTCCATGGACAGGCTTGTCGCTTACCACCAGGTGCACGCCTTATTTCTCCGATCACTGGGTATCATAAAAAAATATCTAGGTGTAAAAAAATAACTGACCTCCCAAATAAAAACATCTCCCGCAATGAGCTTCTCATCGCACATGCGCGCATCGCTGACTAACATAACGGCGCGTACAGTGTCCAGGATGTCAGCTGCGCTCTCCGGGTAGCCTTGTCTGATGCGGAACAGTGTCACACGATATCCCTCGTCTGTAAGCTTTGGCATTGGCACTATATCCCTGGATAACATAAAAGGAATGGTATAGTACACACCTTGAATTAAGTAATTCTGTTGAAACACCAGAGGTGCGAATAGGCAGCTATATATAATAATAAATAATATACATATATTTTGAAGTTTACCTTATTATGTTTTTCTTTTCTCAGCCTGTTGGCTGTTGGCTGATTTCAATTACAGACCGAAATCAAGTAAATGCAGTATGATATGTATTTATGTTGAAAGTGTGTTGTAATAAGCCTATGTCGTCTTCTTCTATTTGGATGAACTTTCTGATAATTCGGTATGTTTTTAAAATTATCGCTTTTTGTAAGGTTACGTAGTGGATTTCTTTAAAATCTAATAATCTGAGGCTATGAAGAAGATGATTGGGGATAACGACTATTATATCTATATAATAATAACATACATGTTTATTTGTAAGGTATTAAAAACCTCGCGGGACTGTATTATTACCTACTAACGTTATAAATAACAACTTTTGTTCCATAACTTTTAATAATTCATCCAATTTTCTTTCGTACAAAAATAAAAATATTAAAATAGACGAGAGATGGCTCTGTGCGATAACAACTTCATGGTAGCAATACTAATAGGGTGGATCTTGCTTTCTTCTAAATTGTTGTAACGAGCAATTGCTTTGCTATTATGGTATGAAAATATATTCCTATAGGAGTATCTACGTGATTTATATACCAAAACAAAAATAAAATATGCTTCTATAATAAAATAATTGAATATCATGGCAGTAAAACATCGTGACATTCAATAAACTTAAAAATTACAATTATTAAAGCGATATCTCTAGTCGGCCGCTGGTAGCTGTAAAGGTACCTGTCTGGGTGAAGAAATTAATTTCTCACAGATGGCGCTACGGCAAAAATCGTTAAAAACCAAAAACAAATAGTTACGCAATTCAGATCCGAAAAATATTTTATTTCCTAATGTAACAATCGTGAAAACCTAGGAAATCTATTAAATATGTCGTTTAAGAATACCGATTTCGAGAAAAAGTTTTGAGGAATTCAATTTATATTGAATTGATATTCAATATTTTTTTGTGAATGACTCCCCTAGTCTGTTATAATTATTTAGACAAAGATCGAACACTTAGAAATCTCTAGCCAGGGCTAGCTGTAAAGTTACCTAACTGGGTGACGAAATACTTTCATAGATTTCTCATAGATGGCGCTACGGCTAAAAAGTCTTTGAAAATCAAATATAAAGATCCGATAAATCAAGCACATACGAAAATTCGGGAGGTCCGCTGGTTCATTCCGTGGCTTAGTTGACATAGCGTATAGCACGGTATGCTAGAAGACGTATTCGAATTGAAGGAATTTTTCTTTTTTTGAAGTGTTCGATCTTTGTATTAATAATTATAACAAAATTTGAGGAATATCTTAGGCATACTAGATGAGGTTGAGTTTGAGGAAACATTTAAGAATAAGGGTGTTAGTCAGTGGCGTAGCGTTGGTGGCTGCCGCCCGAGGCCAACCTTCATTTTGTTGTTCTATTTTCACAGTTTCAAAAGGAGTTCGTTCGGGCAGATTCGGCTCGATTGCGTTTTTGTGTTAGCCTGCCGTCGCTACCTGTGTGTTGTTCAGGATACATTTTCTCAAGTAGTGGAATTTACGAGTATTTTCTCATATTATTTTAAAAAAGTTTACTATATGGCCTGCTTTAAAAAAGTTTACTATATGCTGTGCCGCCAGAGGCTATGGCCACCTCCGCACACCCCTCGCTACGAAACTGGTGTTAGTGTTGAATTAACATTAACAGAAAACTTACAAGAACTTGCAGACGTTATTAAGTGGTGGCTCCGTAAGTGAACGATACTGGTAGATATCTTGGTAGCGCGAACGGGACATGCAGAAGGACTCGAACTTTGTGCGCGCACGCTTCATGTCCATTCGGCATCCTCGCACGAATAGCTCCAAAAAGTGATTATCTGAGGGCAATAATACAGCGATATGTAAAACAAATTATTCAATCAGCTAGTCGATGAAGTAAATAAAAATAAATGTGGTATCCGGTCATGACTTTCTCTTTCATTAGATTTAAAAATAAAGGCGGGCTTACATTTGGCTGCCGTGTAGCGTTGTGACGCGTCAGAAAGGTAGCGGTTTCATACATTTAATATGATTAGATTTATATTAGTGTGTCGCAATCTGATGTGACGGCTTGTGCTGTACACACAACACAACACGTCAGACAAATGTAAAACCGGCTTAAAATAAATATGGTCGAGTCTTTACTCAAATGATTTCAGTACAGAGTACTAAGAAAACCGACCTCAAACATTCGTGGAATTACATCTATTTGCCAAGTTTTATTGAAATCAGTTACTGGAAAGTGCGCGAAACCAGATTCGTCTCCTAGTTTGCTACCCGTGGAGGTGGAATATTTTATTTAAATTTAAATGAGACCACAACTGTTGTAACTTCTTTTCAACAATAAAAGTATGATCTAAATCGGTTCACGATACCGGCGAGTTATCGCGTAACAAACATACAAAAATAAATACAGTCGAATTGAACACCTCCTCCTTTGTTTCACGTTGGTTAAAAATCTTATATTTCCGCACGCTTGGTATGGTAATTTAATTATTAATGCAAAAATCGAACACAAAGAAAAAGACCTTCAATCCGGCTGGATTCGAACCTTTTGTATTAATTAATAATTATTAAACTAGTGAAGTCATATCGAGTTCTTAGGTTTTCGCGATTGTTACACATAGGAAATGAAACTATTTTTCCGGATTTAAATCGCGTATATTTGTTTTTGTTCAGTCAACCGTGACCATGGGACCTGTAAAGGGCCCGAAACGTCGGTTTGTTTGAAAAAACAAATACACGCGATTTAAATCCGGAAAAATAGTTTCATTTCCTAGTGAAGTCATTTCACAAAAATAATTTAATATCATGGCAGTAGAACATTGTAATATTCATTCAATAAACTTAAGATTACAACTTTGTTGTGCTTAAATATCGAAAATTATACAATTTCACATATACATAATTTGTTTCATGTAGTTATTATTTATTATTTTTATCACTTTCGTGTCATAAAAACACTTTTGATGTATAATCAAATGTAGCTTTATTATATCAAGGGTACGTCTATGTTTATATGTTTATGTATGTTTTAATTAGAATAAATTATAAAATAAAATTTTATTAAATATTGCTAAGTGTAATTTTCTAAGCCCTGCTTAAATTATTTACACAAATTCTCATATTAGAGTTCTTCTTCTTCTTTTAAATGTTATGGCCAAATCGAAGTAATCGATGATTTTGCAGTTCAGTATATTCTTCAACTTTTGACAAATGTCACTGTCAAACATGGAAACATATAGGAAAAATATTATTTTTTCTGAAAAATATGAGTTTATCAAAATGGAATGTTTTCTATGACGCAACACTAGGTACGTCTGTATAATTTTTATTCACATGAGACAATCTTTAATCTATGCAAAAATAAGTTGACTGTTGTAAATAATATGTTCATTATGCACGCTATGCTACGACAGCAGCTCAGCTAGTTTCCTAAACATTGACGTCAAAAGATATTAAAACTTCCTCAATCGTAATACGTAACGCACTGACATTGGATAGAAGATTTAACTCTGGCCATCAGCTGTTTCGGGTTGCATATAGATTGGCTCATCATCACCGTGAAACTCACAAACTTTATTGATATCCATATTATTATTTTTTTTTCAGATTTGGGCACATTTATCAGCTTTCATTAGAATAAGATTGCGATTTACAGAGAACGTACAGATGGAATGTTAAAGAAAATTACAGTAAAATCACACCAGCAGTGTAATAACATCGGATCTGTAAAATGAAAATTTTCAGGAGATATGTGTAAAGTTTCTACGAACTAAATTAATCTGCATTTTAAGCATAAATAGGAGATCTATAAAATTTCACAGTATGTAGTCAGGTAGGGTGAGGAACATACTTTAATTTGAGTAAAACGTTTTGAGCTCTAGAAAGAACAGATAATTTTTTTATAAGAATTTTGCAGTACACTACACTTGCGTTCGTTTACATGTTTTAACCATCATTACTACATTACACCACGAAGTCTGAGGAGATAGTGGAGTACATCAGATTAAAATAGATTAGAATAGATTAAAAGCCAAATACCTACACCCCGAGAGTCGAGCGATTGGAGTCCCGCCACAACGTGAATTTTAATTCGTTTGTGGTGAGAGTGCCGATCGAATTATCTGTCGACCTTCATGAAGGAAAGTTTTAGCCGAAGGGAACGTATCGGCGATTCCACGGCCGGTTACCTGACACCAGATTGCGCCACACGCCGCCAACAAGTGCAATTCGTGTAGATTAGTTATTTAGTTTTATATTGTTATAAATAATATATTCTAGCTATGTTAGGCCTCAACGTATATTTTATATGGGTCATGTGGCCTAACTAAATGAATAAATAAATAAAATAAAAAATTACGCTAAATTCAATACTTACGATGTACATATTAGCCGAAAACGTGCAAATTGTAGTAATATACTCTTTCCCTAAAAGATGGGGTACGAAGAACAGTCCTCGTATTTCTTATAAAGTTGATTATTTATTCGATGTATAAAGGTAATGTATAATTCATGTTCTCCAGATTTCACAAGTGTGAAATTTGTTTTACCTTATTCCGCATTTTGGATTGGAAACATCGTAGCGACAGCTCTTTAGAAACGATTAAACTTAATTTGTGTGTTTTAGCGACTGAAAGACTATAGTGCTAAACTCTTTAAATATCAGTTAGGCTCAACTCACACTGGCGCAGAGTCGAAGCGTCGCAACGCGTCAGTCGAGCTGCTTCGCGCAACGTCGCGTTACTTGGACGCAGTGAGGCGTCAGACACCGACCACACTATGATCCGGGCGCACTAATGCGAGCGTCGTCGCGCGTCGACGCGCGTCGCCAGGTGTTATAGTTGAAAAACAGGACGCGACACGACGCTCCGACTCTGCGCCAGTGTGAGTAGAGCCTTAAGGCTTCAAGTCCTTCTTCCCCAGTGTTTCTCTTACCCCACCTGACATTACATAATTTGTTTCGTGTAAATCGTTTTATTTTTATTATCACATTTGACTTTATTATAACAAAGGTGCGAAATATACGTTTTAATGATTTGATTGCAGTAAACAACGCTGTAAAACTGGTCTATAAATCACAAAGTCTAGCAACTTTGATGCAATTAAAATCCAGGTAAGTATTGTGGCAAGGCTATATGCGCAATTTCTCTGATGGGCAGTAATTATCGAACCATTATGAAACTTCTATAGGACTTCCCATTCTCACGATCCGATGCGGGAATGTTCTTCCGATTTATGGAGGTTGCAAACATTTGTATTAATTACACAAGATCAAACAAGAAACATTATTCATCTGCGCCGTAGATACGGGGAGTACATTTTTTTATAGTTTGTTACAGCTGAAGCAGAAGACAATGAGCTGAAGCTAGTTTGTTAAAGCGTTAGAAAAATTTATTAATTTTTTTTTAAGAAACTCTACTTTGGTAAAAACTAGCAACCGAATCAACTAGCAGCTTTTAGTAGCAGGAGAGCTCCTTGCGAAAGAGTTCGTCCAGGGAAGTACTGCCACCTTGCTTATTTCTGCCGCCAAGTAGTAATATCAGCATTTCTGTGTTCCGGTGTTGAAGGGTAAGGGTGCTGGTGAAATTACAGGCACATGGGTCTTGTCAACTTATGTCTCATGGTGACGGAAGCAGTAGCAGTGCCCCTCAGACCTTTGCGATTTAAAGCTCTGAGTGGCACTGATACTGTTATGGACAGGCGTGTAGCTTACCATTAGGTGCACGACTTGTTCGTCCCGTCACTTGATATTATAACCAAAAAAAACTATAAATAAGTATCGTAAATACGCAACCTTGTTGTAATAAGGCCATATCTGCAAAATGGCAACTTTTCAAGAGAGAGTTTAATTTTATTCGACATCTTTTTGTTATTTGTTGAGAGAGAGTGAGTTACTAAATTTCACATATATAATTTGTTTCATGTACTTCGTATCATTTCATGACTTTTGATCACTTGTGATTTTATAATAATGGAATAACCTAAGGAGAATTTTAAAGCGACATATTCTGCAGCCGTTATCTAGTGGCAAAAATTGTTAACCAAGAAAATAACGTTTAAAGCAAATAAATTAAAAAAGAAAATCTATTTTTCTCTTGCCGTACCTTCATACTTATCAACCTAGGAAAAAATAGAAATAGTGACAAATCGGTTTTTTTTTACTGGTCACGGCAGTATACATAACAATTTTTTCTTTTAAAATGTCACATGCGCCCTTCCAACTAACAGCGACAGAATTGTTGTTCCTAGTTTTCCTTTCACCCTCGCTAATACGTTTAAAATGGCAGTTAAAGGTTTATTATGCGAGAAGGACGTTCACCGGTCAAGGCATGCATGGCAACATGCGCCTGAGGTACCTACAAATTAACGTGTATCCAAGCCTTTTACAAGGTTTGTGTCGCAACACAAACTGCTGCTTTTGTCAGCCAACAATAGACGAGGATAGTTCCTTAAGCCGTATTGTACTAACCAGTAATTAACGTGATAATTACCTAATTTAAATATAAACAACAGGTAATTCGGTTATTGCACAAAAACACGGGAAAAACTGCTCACATTTTTAAATCAACTAAACAGGTTTCGTGGCACATAAATGTTTTTTTAAAAATATAATATGCGTCAATTACAATGTTTTTGAATATCAACATAAAGTTAAAATCATTAGCTGTATCCTCATTTGAAACTGTTGTGACCAATAAAAACAGTTGTGATTAGAAGAAAACTACAAAAATAACACCATATTCCAAATACATGTACACGTGGATGTTCTAAAAACAAATTTGCTGGAAGCCATGTACTTAACTCAGGGTTTAAAAAGTGTCTACAGTTACCAACA